TCCCATGGAAGTATTTTCATGAGATATAACTCTGGCTTTTGAATATTAGCACTAGTTACAGAAACAGAGCAAACAAACTGTGTTTTGGGATTTGGCTTGAATAATTTTTCAGCCATACTATTTCTTAATATTCATGCTCTCTTATCCTTTTCTTGGTTTAAAACCAGAACAAGTAAGGAAGAATATCTAATCAAAAAGATGAAAATGAAAATCTTCACCTGTATCAGTTGCATCATAATTGAAACTTTCATCCTTCAGATTCTCCAAAAGAAAATAGTAAGTGCAATATTAAAAAAAGGAAACCACAGATCTGAGCCAACATGCTTTCATTAAACACGTACAATCTATGTCTTGTTATTTGTGCAAATTAACAATATTGTTATTGACTACACTTCTTTTAAGCAGTCTTTGTTTACAGTGATTTAGATTATATTGCCTAATGTGTATTCATTTTTTGACAGCAACAGAAGAGTTGTGCAGGAGGAAGTCAGGGGAGTTTAAATTAATAACTGGTTTATATAACTTTATTGACTTTTCTTGGCGTATAAGATAATTTTTGAAAAATCTTCGTTTGCAACCAAAATGTGAGTAGCTTATCTATTAAATCCATGTTTAAAATGATTGATGTTTTTGTATATCATGAATGGTATGTAATTGCCTAATTAAACTAAATGCTTATATAATACTGCTTTTTTTTTTTCTTTAAGATCTTTCTTCATACCTACTAAGGCCAGAGATTTGCTGTAGCATAACCTGCTTCTCTGTGCCACTCTCTTGTTTATTCCACCACTTTAATATCTACAGAACTGCTCTTCCACCACCACCCCTAAATACTGTGTGAGCTGGTACTGTGCTCCTTGCCACATCAGCAGTGCAAAAAATGGTTTCATGTCATCAGTGTAATCTTGATAATGAGTATCATGTGTGCAGGTTATCAAAAAGACCTTACATGTCAGTGCATTTAGCTTATTCAACTTAAAGGAAAAGTACTTCTCGTTTAGTACTCTGGGACAGGCCGCATGCCATTTTTGCTCCCTAGATGATGTGCAGGAACATGCATCTAACAAGTAACACTCTCCCCTTCCCCAGCCCCCTAGTAAAATTTCTCAAATTTATTTTCAGAGCACAAATTGCACATCTAGATTGCAGTGATTTCTCTGGACTTTTTTTGAGTAATAGGGTAATAAGAGGACAGTTGAGGGGTAGTTATTTGGAAAGCAGAACTGTTGTCTGCATTTAGAGTGTTGCATGTCTAAACAGTTAACAAGACTGGTCTTGTGCAACGGCCCTTGCATATGTGGTGTTTTTTAACATGAAGCAAAAAGAGATCCTTTTATCAGTCCTTAGGTTAAGTGACTTGGACATTTTGACTGCACATTATTAAACATGATTTTGCCTCAGTTTTGCATTTGTAAAATAAGGATACTCGTCTTTGTAAAGCACTTACAAAATGATCTAAAAAGATCTTTATGTGCAGTGTTATGTATTCAGCCTTTATGTAATGCGTCCACTTAATGCCGTTGAAGGAGCAGCATTAACTTTTCAACTTGGTGTGGTCTCCTTAACCTGAATACCATGACACTGTGTACAACAATATGAGGAACTTCTTCCAGACTCTCCATTCTCCCTGGGGTTTGAAGGTGCTAGCATCTTTTACCTGAGCAGCCTTTGAGCCATTAGAGGATTCCCTCCTGTCTTCCTGGTGCATGTTTTCTTTGAAGACTTTCTTTTGAGAAAAATCACCAGTATCAGCTTTCTGAAGAGTCTGCTTATTCTTTAAGTACCTTTGTCCCCATTTTTAACTCTCATCCCTGTGGTGTTGGCTATATGGAAAGGCAAAGGCTATTGCACTTAGAAGAGCTCTTTCTTAATGGTAAGTCTGTTAAACAAATCCATACTTGGTAATCCCATTGAGCCTCACTGCAGCAGTGAAACAAAGTGTACCAGCATCTGGCTGGTACAAGCCTTGAAAGGATAAATCAAATACCTCTAGTTGCATGAGAAATGCATTGATCTGTGTAAAGTGATAATCTGGCCTCTGCTAAAGTGATTTTTAATATCCCAGTAAACTGAAGGATTTCAAGATTTCAAACTTTAAATTGTTAGTTTTCTTAAACACTCCTATAGTTTGAGCCAGGTTGTTTCAAGATATGTCTTACATGTCAGAGAAGCTGGGCAGCTGTCTCATTTATCTTTCCCAGGATATCTGTGTTTTCTTGGTGACTCTGAGACTGATCAATCCACAGTGCTGATTGCTGCTCCGCAGGAAGTAGTGTTTCTAGTGCATCCTGTGCATTAAATACACACTGGTTATTGAGGAGGAGGAAAAAAAAGAGGGAAGGATTTAGTTCCGCATTGGATTTTTTTTTCCCCAGGATACTCCTCCCCTGCTCTGCAGAAAGACTGCAGTGGAATCCTGCTCCACATGCCCTCCCACCATCTCCCCTCTGCTGATGAAGTGTAAGAGGCATGTGAAGAGCAACGGTTCAGCCAGATGTGCAGTGAAATAATGATGCCGAGTGCACTTCCCCTGGCTCCCCGCCCGTTGCTCTGACTGTAAGAAATGCAGTTCTCGGGACAGCTCTCTGCTGCACCCTCCAAGTTGTCTGCAAGGTGAATGGCCAGGCTGTTTTACCCTAATGGGATTTTTTTTGGCGTTACAAGCTGGTGAATGATACTTGCTAAAGAGTCAGGGAAATTCTCATGACTGACAAATATCGCACTAATAAATAATAAAAAAAAATCCTTTCTTTTATAAGCCCATTAATTTTACCTTCTATTTCTTACTTAAAACAGTTTAAAAATTAAACCTTGAGACTTTTGGTTAAATTGAGATACATATTTAGGCTGTGCACTTGCATTTTTCAATTTGGAGGGTCTTTATTGCTTGCAAGCAGCTAGAGGATAACTGCACGCACTGTCCTCTCCTGTGGTTCACTCGTTGACTTATTATTTTTAAAGTTACCAATATAGTAAAGAGTTATGACTTGATGGCCTCATCAGTCAGTTCTGAATTAGAGACCACTTGAAACCCTCCTGCCCGATTTTATTTTTCCCTGCACATTCCTGTTGATAGATGACCTGGCCCAGGTGACCCGATGGAAATGCCAGCAGGGAAAGGCTCATGTCGGAGCTGACAGTTTCCATTGCACAGAGAGGTTTGTTGGTTGGTTTTACTTCCGCTCCTGTGAGGCAGAGGAACATTCATCACCCTTTCTCTGCGAGCTCAGGCAGAGGATCCAATCTCTCTGGAAGCCCAGCTGTTCCTGCCATGGGTCACATGAGGCAGGTGGGGACAGTTAGTGGCTTTGGATTGACCTGGGGAGCACTCGGTGATGGGGAGGTGGCTGCCACCTCACGCAGCTCTTAGCACTGGTTGCTCAGATGTTTGAGGGCTCTTATGTCACCACCTCTTGTGTGGGAGTGTCTTTTCTGCATGACAAGCACAGGAATTAATTTTAGCAGGCGACTGCCAGGCAGGGCAGACTGAAAAGCAAAGAAAAGATCATTTCTGAACCCATCACAATCTGTGGAACATGATGTTTCTTTCACTATCCTCATTTTAGCAGCTATGGATAGTCCATGAACCCTGCTAAGTACTGATTGGTATAACTGAGCCTTGGAGTTAATTGATGGTTTTAGTTATTTCTGGTTCCAATATTGACTAAGTTGTTCCTGCACAGCAGAGGGGACCTAGCATAGTTTTAAAAAATAAGCCATCATTTAAAAATTTACATCATTTAAAAAATAAGCCCTCTAGTTTTTCATTCACTTTCTGCAAATAAGCTATGTTACAGAGGATAATTACATTTTGTTATGTATTTCTGTATACAGGTCTCTTAACTGGAAACTGCTTTCCAGAACCGTTCTTAATCCTTTTACTTACACAAGTTTAGTGTATGTTTACCTATACTTTCACTGTGACTTTTATAAATGGATTTTATTTTGCTCGGTTATAAATTGTATGTCTCTATGCATTGTAACCCTTAATGCCTTTGAAAATCCACTCTGGAGGATAAGGATTGGAATTATCTCCAAATATGCTTATTTGACATAAACTGATGAGTGATATTTAATACTGTAGATACTGCAGCATTTTATTTCTTACTGCATTTGGCTTTTCGGTTCAGGTGAAATATATAATCTATGCATTTTTATTTAAACTATATAAACGACATATAAGTTTTGTGCTGTGAAAATATATTAAACTGCAGATTGCTGGAATCTGGCTGACGTGGTCTGCAGGTTTTATCTCCCCCTTCTCACCTTCTCTGTGAGCTGAGCTTATCTTGCGTGACTGGAAATGCCATTGCGGAGCCCAGGCCTCCCTCAGGCCCTTCCCTAAGGGCACCAAGCAGCAGCTCGTTCCGCAGCGCCCGCTTGGCGGGTGCCCCGTACGCAGCGTCCTCGGGGACCCTGGAGCGCCCCTGAGCCCCACAGCGGCCACTGCTCTTCCTGGAGGGAATTCCCCCCCCAGAAATGAATGAAAATACCGTTTTTATTGCCTTTGCTTTGCCTTCCTACAGTAACAGCTGCTTTCCAAGGCACATGCCCGCGGGAAGCCTGAATCCCTGTCAGGCTCTGCCCAGCGACAGGCAATTGGCCGCCGCGGGCTCGGGCCTGCTCGGCAGCCCCGCGGAAGGGCCTCGCTGTTTCTCCTCTTCGCCTTTTAACGGATTCGGTAGTTTTGGCCCTCGTTGTTTCTTCGCCTTTTAACGGATTCGGTAGTTTTCTTTAAGGCTCCTGGCCTGGCAGGCCAGCGAGCGGCCTTGGCCTCGCTGCAGAACCGGGGCTGCGTCACCAAGCGACCTAAAAAACCATAAAAATAAGCACAAAAATGGGGAGAAAAGAGCAGTTTCCTGCGTTATTTCAACCAAGCCGACCGCGACGCCGCCCGAGGCCCGACGCGCTCAGCGCACCCTCGCGGGCCCCGCCTCCCGGAAGTGACGCATGCGCCCTTCCGCCGCCGCGGAGGGCAGGGAGCGCCGGGCGCCGTGAGGAGCCGCGCGGGGCGGGAGGCGCCGCCGCCGGTGAGAGACGTCGGGGGGGAAAGGGGAGGGAAAGGAAGGGAAGGGGAAGGGAAGGGGAAGGGAAGGGGGTCCTCGGGTCCCGGTTGCCACCCCGGGACCTCCCTCGCTGGGGTCGCCCGGGCCCTGCCGGCCCCCCGGGTAGACCTGGTGTCTCCCGCGCGCTGCTTCGTTCTGTCCGTTACGAAGCCGCTGTCTGTCTGTGGCGGCCCCGACAGCGGCGCCCGGGTCCGGCCGCGGTGAGGTACCGAGAGCCCGTGCCGTCCCCGAGGGCGTTTAGGGACCGCCGATCCCTGGGGTGAAGCGGGGCGAGGGCCCTCCCGGAGCGGGGCTCTCGCTCCGGAGTCGCTGCCCTTGGGCACGGGCGACAGCAGAAACGCAGGAGCACGAAGCCGCAGGCACCCGTTCAGCAGAATAAGCTGTGGACGATCGCTGAGGTGCCCCACCATTCCGATAGTTCATCTATTTTTGCTTTAAATGCTGTCTAATCTATAGCAGCCTTTCCTTTGCCACTGTTTGCTCTCTGCCGCCGGAGTCTGCACGTTCGCTCCGTGTTGGTGAACTCCTTGAGACCCGAGCTGCCCTCGGGATGTCCCCTCTCACGGTGCGGGTGAATCCTGCTCAGACCCAGGCAGTGCCCAGGCAGGCGCGGAGCACGCGGGGTGTCTTGGAGCCGCCTTCTGAGGTTCTAGCAAATTTAGATTTAATCTGCACCCGAGTGGGCAAACCACGTGGTGGCTTGGCACATCGGCAAAGTATATTGCGTACAAAGCACCCAGTGGCGGGTGTTTTTCAAGATAATTTAGAAGTTTCAGATAATCAGAACCTCATTTCAACCTGAATTTCTGATCAAGCTCTAAAAAGCAGCCTTTTTTTTTTCTTTTAAGATATTTCATTTGGGATCAGAGATTTGAAGGTGCAATTAGAGTCTCATATAGATGCTGAGATATAGATGTTAATTCCTGAATACCTGTTAATGCACATGCTGCTCCTAACGGGACGGTCATTGCTCTGGGCAGCAGCTAACAGTTTGATGTGGACAAACATGAGTTCCCCATGAGTGGGGAGATCCTTGGAGCTTTCTCTCGAGCTGAAGTTGACCTCAAGCTCTCCGGGAAGGGTGTTGCAAAGTCGCTTGGCCCTTGGGCTCCGCGTGTTTAAACAGTGGCTGTAATTTCTTTGGTCGCTTGCAGTACAAAAGCTGTATGGGTGTCTTCAGGTGACTAAACCAACTGTGTCTGTCACCATGGTTAAAACCTTATTTTTTCTCAGGAACATTAGCCAACAAACTGCCCTGTGTATATGAGGAAGCAGTTGGTCTAGGTGAAACTCCTTAATTGGGAGGAAGAGGCACATGAAAATAGTTCAGGCTCGTGCAATCTATGCCACCAACATGGCTGTATTTCTGGGTCAGTCTTTACTAATTCTTACGCGTTTCATGGTGCTCGTGTTTTCTGCTCATGAGTCTCCCAGGCTGTGTCGCCCCACCCTTTCCTTTGGAGGAAATTACTGCTTGTTTAATTAGCGCTGTGTTAGTTACGTGCCCGAATGCCCAGGACTGCGTGTGAATCAGGGCTCTTCCGACACCTCTGTAGTGTGGAGACGCTCCGGACAGTGGTTGCTCTTCGGAAGCAGCACTTAGCTGATGGGAAGCTGCAGATGGGCTGTCCAGGTAATTCACAAGTCGATATTTGAGGCTGGGATTTGCTTGACAGATTCTCTCCTGCTTCAGATGCTGGTGATGATGTTTTCCACTGCTTATGCAAAGAGATGCTTTCCCTTGCTTTTAAAATAACACTATTCATCTCTTTGCAGAGGCTGTCACTTGGGATGCTGTAATAGACATTGGTGACTAGACGTGTTATTTAGGGACATCTTTCTGTAGGAAAAAGTTATAATTAAACCTAACCCCCTCATCCTCTCTTTCCCCTGCCCCTCCTCGGATTTGGTATGCTTCATAGTGGACACTCTCTGCCTTGTAAACTTATTTTCATTAACTAAAGCTATGTGTCTGCTGCAGAATAGCTTCAGGTGGGCCCTGGTCTCTAGAGCAGATGTGGGATTGGATGTGCTATCCAGCAATGTATAAAGCACAAAGCAGGAATTGCTGTTTTCAGGAATGCACATGGAAACTTCCCCGGTTTTTCTTGCTCTAAAATCCCATGCCTGGGGATCGCCGTCGGGGCAGACAACAAGGACGCTTGGTACCGTGTCACACGCTCCGAAAATGCCCTTTGGGAGCCCTTTGATGTTTTCTTACAGGAGGAATTCATACAGATTGTTCATTAAGTGTTAGGAAAATTTAAACTTCAAGAGTTAAACCATGTTCCCTTTGGGCCAGGGAAAAGCTGGTGGCAAGCATTGCTGCAAGTCGTGCTCAAAATTTGATTTAAAGAAGCAGCATAAAGTAAAATGGTGGTCAAAACAGAGCAGGAGGGTCTCCAAAGTCACAAGACAGGTTTTTTTTCAAGTCAGAAAGGTAGAAGGATGAAACATGCTACCCAGAAGTGAAAGGTAATTTTATATTTTCAAGCTAGCCTGCCTGTTTTGCTCTTAAATCTAAAAATAGGGAGACTTCACATGGGTTGATCAACTTTGGTACCAGTGTCGAAACTTCCTTTCAGAGCAGTCTTATGAAGCCACTGCTTTCATTTCCACTGTTACCATGCAGGACTCTGCAGAAACTGCTTTTTGTAGGCTACAGCGATTATAAACTGATTAACAGTTACAAGCCTGTAGGTTAGCTATAGGTTGGTAAGGGGTGGTGTGGGGGTTTTCCAGCTCGCTCTTCCATGTGCACATGACCCAGGCAATCCAACACTCCAGTAATTTGTGCATAAATGAGTATTTCATCTTTGTGGCCGCGGTGCAATCCGTTCTGACAATGAAGATGTCTGTTTGCTTGTTCTTTCCCAAGGAAGTAAAGAGATTGTGATTACTCCGAGCTAAAAAGAACAAGCAGGACAAGGCGGTGGTGTCTGAACCGCTTCTGAAACTTGTTTCACAAACTGAGCTCTCCCCGAAGCCAAAGCTGTACCTGGAGTCTTGCTAAACACTAATGTGTTATGAAACTTGCCTTCAGTTTAGCGTTGGAAAGAATGCATTGTGTAAGCAGCCCTGTCTGTGTGTACATTAAATCAGTCCCGTGGCAGATCCTGTTTTGATGCAAGGTGCCCCTCTTTCATGTTACATAAAAACTAGGAGGGCACTTGCTCTTCACTGTGGCTCTAGGAGCAATTTTAATGGGTTTACCACAAAGTTTTGCAGCTATTTTGTAATCTGTTTGGTGTGAAAATCTGCCCATATACTCAGTCTTTTGCTGTTGCCAGTGATGTAAAAGGTATGATTGTATAGGGGAGTATTTACTGCCCCTTCAGTGCCTGTTGGGGAATATTAACAAAAGTGGCCTAAGGATGTATGGAATTAAAATGAGAGGAGCGCAAGCTTTGGGGGGAACTTGAAAGCTGGTTTTGGTTGTTATGTAACTAACCTAGAAATCAAAACGTCACATGTAATCTTCAAGTGTCTGCAAAGTTCTGAGCTCTCTTATGCTGCGGCTCTAATTATGAAATAGCGCTGATTAGGAAGACTGCATCTTTAGTCTTATTGGCTTCCCTGGCTCTGTCAATGGGCAGCCAGGATGTCCGTGGCTGTCCTTGGGCCCCATGCAAGGACCTTTGGGGTCCTTGGTTTGGTCCATGTGGGAATGTGGGCACCCGGAGCGGGATCGAACTGCTGCTGCTGGGGCCTGGGGCCTGTCCTGGTGCTGTCCCGAAGCCTGTGGGATCTTATGCTGCGGGTTGTGCCCTGGGAAGGGCAAACCTGGCCGGGCCAAGCTCTGATCGAGTGTCCTTGCTCGTTTAGATGTCGCCTTCCTGCTTCCCAAGGGAAACTTGGGAAACTCCTTGGGAAACTCCTGACCCAGGCCAGCAGCTGAACCTGCACATCCTTGTTTCCAAATTACAGGGGCTTTATTGAGCACTTACCTTCAGTGGCGACCATTGCATCTCAGGGCAGAGGAGAACACACAAAAAGAAAAAGCTACTTCTCCCTTGGCTTTTCCAGTCCATAATATGATAATTTTCTATTCGTTTCCTTTTAGAACTTTGGAACTTGGAACTTTTCTTTTGTAATGGTGGTGTGTCTTTAAGTGAAAAATAAACTCCTCACTCTACTCTTAGTGCTCATGTGATTTCTTCATATTGATTCGGAGTGACCTTTCTCGTCCCTGAATGTGGAAGTGATGCAAGTGCAAGCTAAAACCCGGGAAGGGCAGCAAAGGAAACCGCTTGCTTTCTCCATAACTTGGGTCCACAGCTTTTCACAGCGTCCCCTTGAACCCTAGGATTAGTTCTAATGTACACACAGGATTACCAGAATGACAAAAATAATTGTGTTGCTAAAATATGAGTAAAGGTCCGTAGAGGTTTGTGCCCTGTGCACCAAGGCAGTGGAAGTGCAAGAGCACAACTGGCAGAGCGAGTGCAATAGGCTGCTAAGATTTCAGAAGGCAAGATGCTGATGCAGGATTTAAGCAAGTCGATGGGTTTCATCCTGCTCTGGTTTCTGCAAGATCCCCCGTGTCCTCAGCTGCTGCTGGGTGCAGAACCCGAGCTGGTGAAACGGGTCTGCAGGCTCCAGCTACAGAGCTCTTGTAACTTCTTCCATCATAGTGGGTGATTTTTTAATGGCTTTAATTGCTTTGTACGGGCACCTGTAATACAAGTCTGTAGCAAATGTGTTGTCTGGCTTGCTTTTCTTTGGCCTGCAGGAGCAGAAGTGCATTAAGGACTGCCAGGCTCTGTGATGCTCCTGTGGGAAGGAGGAAGGGTGATGTATTCAGCTGCTCTTGGTTGTACGAATTAGAAACTTGAGTCTTTACAAATTAAGTTATTAAGAGACTCACTCCCTTAAATACAGGTCTCTATAGTGAAACTCTTTTTAGATTATTTTTTGAAACTCGTTACTGACCTAAGAGGAAGCAGTGGGTCCTCATCTTTAATAGTTTGGGTTCAAAAATCTTCCATTTTTTCCTGTTAGAGGAGAGAGATCCTAGGGAAACCTTTGGTGACAAATGCAAGAGCAGGTCTGTGAACTGCTTGGGGTCATGCAGCTTATGCAGAGCTTTCCCTTTGTGATTCCCATGAGGGAAAAGGGCTCAGACTTGGCAGCCAAGGCCCGTCTTCCAGGTTTGTGTCAGGCACGCCAGTTTTGTGATCCCAATGCCAGTGTTTTAGTATGAAGGTCTTAAACTTGCTGTGGCCAAGGACGTTGTGCTGCTTTTATCCTAAAATGAACCCAGCGTTTAGGATTGGAAAGAAGCAGCTGAAATGCCCTTGGAAGGAGCTGGCATGTGGGATGGCCACTGCCAAGTGGAAAAACAGAAAAGAGAGGGAAACAACGCTGGGATTGCTGGAAGAGGAGACTGCTTGGGGACAGTCCGGGCTTGGGGAGCACTTTGGTTGCCTCTCACTATAGCAGCTGCCTGTGTCTGCCTGCAGGTCAGAGCTCTGCAAACGTATGGGAACACTGCCTGTGCCTTTGGGTGCCGTTTGCTTATGCAACGGAGCCCTTCCTCCTCTGGATTTTATTTTGTTACTATAGAAGCAGCCAATAATCAAAGCAGGCGGATTGTGTCAAAAAGACAAGCCAGCAGAAGGAAGCCTCGCAAGCAACCGAGCATCGAGTTTGTCTTTTAACCCTTTTCTCCTTTTTTTTTCCTTTCAAACAGGTAGAAAATGAGCTTGAAGTCTGAACGCCGAGGAATCCATGTGGATCAGTCGGAGCTGTTGTGCAAGAAGGGCTGTGGTTACTATGGCAATCCTGCCTGGCAGGGGTTTTGCTCCAAGTGCTGGAGAGAGGAATATCACAAGGCCAGGCAGAAGCAGATCCAAGAGGACTGGGAGCTGGCGGAGCGGTAAAGAGGCCTCTTTATTCCCTCATCCCTTGCAATAGGGTGACTTCCCTAAACACTCTTCTTTTCTCCTCGTTTTAAGATGTACTTGGCCTAGCTCAGTTTCCTCGTAAATTCTCAAATGTGACCTTTGCAGCAGGAGTTAAAGTCTTCATTTCAATGCAAAGCTGAATATTTGTGGCGTTCTGATTTAAGGGGTTTTCTAAAGAAAGGCTGTGAAGTTACAGGTGTAAACAAGAAAAATGCTCCAACATCCCCCCCAAACGAATACTTTGACCTAAATTGTGTACTGAAATCTGCGATTTTAACTAGCAGTTGGAAGGGTGAGAATGACAGTTTTGATTAAAACAACCCTGCCTCTGGAGACGGTGGTTACTGCCTTGAATGTAGCCAGCAAAACGGGTTAACATTTCAGCTACTCCTTGAAAAAATGTTTTTATCTTGTTTGTGATCAGGTCAACTGCAAGGAAAGCCCAGAGGAACCAAATCTTTTCAGCATTTTATTTTTTTAAGCAAACTTTTATTGCAAAACAGGCTAGTTTTTTTTGTGTGCCCAAGGATTGACCTGGAAAATTGAGGTTAAAGGGTATCTATGAGTGAGGAAATGAGCTGCTTTTCTTTTGGATTTGGGTGGAAAATAAAAGCATTATCGCTTGCCTAGGAAAGCACGGAATATCCTTTGAATATGGTGCCCCTTCTTGTCACTTGCAGAAGTAAATTACCTGACAGCCTCCTGAAAGCGAGCTGTGTTAATTAAGACTATACGAACTTTTGAGGTGGGCGAGCGTGGAGCCACGTTGACTTCATGACCGTGTGTGCTGGTTGCCTGGCAGTTGAGTGGAGCTGCCTCAGACTTCGGGGTCATGTTGGCACAGAGCCTCTGCACACCCTCGCCTTAATATATCAGTTGTCCAGAACTTTATCTAGGAAAAAACACCAGTGCCTGGGAAGCATTATCTGCTCTTGAACCTGGGGCCTTTTCGTCGAACTTGAGTTACTCAGTGATAAGTTAACCAAGAGCATTTGAGAAAAAAGACCTAAGGGCAGTGTCTACCCTCGCCTGCTTCTAGAAGGTCCCATCTGTGGAAGCTTTTTGAACTGGAGTCCAGACTGGTGATTGTTTCTAAGCCCTAAGTTATTTGTTACCTAATTAGTCTCCTCTTCCTTAGTCCATCCTGGCTGGATGAGTGTTTGAAGAAAGTTACTTGACTCTTAACCCTCTTGGGAAGAAATATAATCCAACCCATTTTAATTCTCTTGCTTAAGAAGAAAAGTAGCCTTTGAAGGGTTAGTGTGTTTTTCTCCTGCAGAGAAGAAGTTTGAAGGTTGCAAAAACATTTCTGGGTAGAAAGAGATTGTGTGTTGGGTGACAAAGACATCTCAAAAGCCCAAGTGTTTCTGATGATATATGCAGTGAAACCCTGGATGGGAGCAGGAGTGCAGAGTGACAGCGTGCACCGATGGAAATATTCCTGTTCTTTCTCTTCCTCCACTCCCAGTGATCTTCTCCCTCCCCTCCAACTTTGTGAAGATAAGATCTAAGGTCACGACATGAGAGGAAGGTGACAATGATGACATTTCAGTCTGCTTCCTCGTGACATTTCCGCCTGATTCTCTCTGGCCACCTTAAGCCTTGCCTCACTTTCACTGTAGCAATGGGGGAAGAAGGGAGGTGAGATGTGTGATAAGCAGCTGAAGGTGAAGGTGGGCATAGAGATTTGACATGCCCGAGAGGGATTTATTGCCGAGGAAACTAGCTTATTGGTGCTGGTTTTAACCACTTAAATTAGACCTACATCTTTCTAATACAGGCTCCAACGTGAGGAGGAAGAAGCATATGCCAGCAGCCAGAGTACCCAAGGGGCGCAGTCACTGACCTTTTCCAAATTTGAAGAAAAGAAAACCAATGAAAAGACTCGAAAGGTGACTACTGTGAAGAAGTTCTTCACTGCCTCTTCCAGAGCAGGAGCTAAAAAGGGTAACTTTTCCTTTGTTTTTTAATGGTTCTGTACAACACGTTCAGTTAGAAGTATTTTTTTGACAATACTGGGTGGGCTTATAGCACTGCTTGCATTGCCCCAGACCTACATATGTCACTGCTTAAAAACTATGAAAATTGCTTTGAATTTGATCTTTAAAAAGTGTTTTAGCAGTCATTTTTCCTGTGCATGTCTAAAACATGACTGCCTGCGGAATTTTTAGTGGGTTCTGAATTCGACACATAATTCATAAATAATTCTGTCAGTTTTATGGTTGTGTCTTGAATTTATATAACTGACGAGAACAGTCTAGAAATAATTCTCCTTCACAAACACTGCTTCCCGTTCTCTGCAGCTGGGAGGGTGAAACAGAATTGAAAAAAAACTTAGGTTACAGGAGCAAAAAGCAATGTTTGTGTGTGTGTGATTTCATTTTGGCTTATTTAGGAGGAAGATTTTCAGAATTTTGAATATGTCTTGCCATACAGCTACAGAAATCACCTCCTCTTCCCATATAAAGTATTTTAGAGAGAGATTCCTAGATATAGGGGTTTTTTTTATCTGCAGAATTTGTGGTTTGTTACTTACATAGTGAAGCTTTCAGAGAGAGGATGCTACTGAAAACACACAGAAATGTGAACTTTTTGGTGACTAATTTTTAAGTAGAGTGGTGGTGCTACCGCAGTATAACATGTCAAGCAACTTTAGTAAGAAAATTGGAATGTCTAAGCAGGGTACCTAAGAATGACAATAAATGTGTAAGGAAACTGCAGTGTTACCGTCAGGTAGAAAGCAGCATGTGGGTTGAATGTAAAGTTTGTTGGCTGAACAGTTTTATTCTAGAGCGTGTGTGCATGGAAAGTGTGATTAATGGCACTGATGCCTTTGCATGGCAGTAGCTTCCATAGGTTGCTTGCTTTGACTTGGGCACGAGTGATCAGATGCTTGACTCTCGAGGAGGAATTGCAGAGGCAAAAGCAAAATCAATGTCCTTAACCTTATGGACCACTCATTTCTTTGGGAAATTGTAAATATACGTGGATTTTACCTTAGCAGTTGCCATGGTTCAGGAGCACCAGCTGGCTAAGGAGGCGTTTTGTGATGTATTAGTATTTTTTTTTCCATTCATTCTTCTCCCCTTCCATGTTTTGTTTTGTTTTGTGCTGTTCACTGTCTCACGTGCTCCTACTTTTGGTGTCTCGCTTGCTTTTGCATTTATTTCAGCAGCTCAAGAGAAAACCATAAAGCAAGGACAGCTTGGGAGGGAGCGAAATGCTGATAACATTCTCAGGGACTTGAAGGAAATTTTTACTCCCTCCTGGGAAGTGGCTTCCCCTTCTGAAGGTAATGCAGCACAGCTCGAGCAAGCCGGCTGCCTGCTTTTAGTAAGCTTACTTAGTTGGGCTTTGCAAAACTAGGCTTGTGCCAGTAATAACCTACGCTGTCATATATGAGTGTGACAGAAAAGCAAATCCAGCACTCTGACTGAACTTGAACCTCTAAACTAATTCTGTACTTCTTAGTGTGGGGAGTACAGGAATAAAATGGATGATGCCTTGAGCTCTGCCTTAGTTTGTCACCTGAAGGAATACGCAGTTTCCAGGTGGCCGTTAGAAATCTCATTCTACGTTGAAACTATTTCACTTTCATAGTTTGAACTTCAAGAACACTTGACCAACACTACTACCAAATATCTAAAGATCTTTTAATATCTTAGTCAAGAAGACAATTTTATATTGAGAGAAAAGGGCCATTGCGGTTTAACTTAAACCAAAAAGGTACCAGAACCCGTGATGTGAACAGGCTTAGGATCTTACCTTTGCTTCCCCGGCGTTTTGACAAGTTCTGCCAACTAAAGAAAATACAAGATGTAGAGTGTCTTTATTCTGCCAATTATTTATATACAGGTGAATGGCTGTGTGCAATAGAGCTAATGACAACGCTGTTTTCATGTTCTTTACGTTAACTAAAGTCTGCTGTCCTGGCACAACCAGAGTACAATCACTGGAGTGCTAACATTCCCCTGTGACATCTAGAACCTCCATACAAAGCCTCAAGATAGATTTTAATATAAAGAAAATGTTCCCTCACAGCAAAAGCTGATCCTGGCTTCCCCTGCTGCTTGTTTTGGCTTTTCTCTTCTGCTAGATCCTCTCTCACTTGTTCAACAGGATTTCCTTTTCCATAATCACTTTTTTGTAGGTGACAACTGACTTGGTTGTTTTGGGACACATGATGCAACCGAAAGTATTTTGTTGCTGGAACTGCCTGTGTTTCTGTAGGCCTCAGTAATCAGTGCATGTTGTGCAGATAAAACCCTCCTCAAATCCAAATTAGGCATACAAGCTTAATGATACTAATCCCATTGAAATGTATAATTTTTTAGTTTGTAGCTCTGCATGTATGTTTGCTAAAGCAAGTTTTGTGCTGTGTGTTAGTGTCTTCGTATTGGAAGATACACTTGTATCTTTTTGATTATGAATATTTTTGTGTCTTCTGTCTCTTTGCTGCTTACTTTTCATCATGCTCATGTACCTCATCTCTGTTCAATCCCTCCTTTTGAGCAGTGTTGGCTGGCAAGCTTAAAGGTGGGTGAGCTAAACTTGGATAGCAAAGATTGCAGACCTGTACACTGGGCTTGCGGCGATTGCCATTCCCGAAAACCAAATGTGCTTGTGTGGAATCCCCATGGTTTGAGCTCCATGAACATCCATCCATGTGTGCAGCCTGTGTCCCTGCCTTGCTCTCAAGTGCCAGGTGGATTCTTCCTTGAACAGATGATGCTTCTGCTCTGCAAACACGAGAGGCCGAGCTCTCGTTTACACTGCGTGTGATTCCAAACCGGGGCTGCTCTGTGAGCACCAGCCTTGGGCTCCCATTCCCAGGCTGCTCCCGGCGTTCCCGTGATCTGGCCATAAACCAGCCCAGGGAGCTGCTCCTGCTGAAAAATAACCCTGTGAGAAAGACTTGCTCCTGCCTAGGACTGGCCCGAGCTGCTTCTCCCTGAGCTGGTTCATCAGCAGTTGAATGATCCCTCGTGTTGGTGCAGCTGAAGGAGCAGGAATGTAAAGGGGAGGGAGGGTGGGAGCGGGACCACTCCGTTAGCTGAAGCAGCGCTGGAATCGCCCCTCGAAGCCTTGATCTCCTAGGCAGGGATCTTACATGCGAGTGAAAATGCAAGAAACTTGAAAGCAACCCCACGTTATGGTGATTTGCTACCATCAAAAGGCCATTAGTGTAAATGGGTGTCTGGCTATAAATGTTTCACTCTGGAATATTCCGTTTCCTCCAGTTATATTTAATAATATTCAGCATTTCACATTAAGCCCTTTCTTTGGATAAATAGAACGCTTATTCGTCTGTGAAGCTGGAAAAAACTCTGAAATTCACATGAAACACTTTCTGAATTCACACATTGAGGACAAAAGTTAATCTACTGTGTCAAATTTTTCCCAGCAGAGCTCCAGGAAACGAAGACTCCCAGCCCTTCTATAAACAGGCAGGCCAGCATTGAGACAGACCGAGTATCCAAGGAATTCATAGAATTTCTCAAGACATATCAAAAACCCGGACAGGATATCTATAAACAGTGTAAATTATTTTTGGACACAATGAATCATAAAAGGGTAAGTGTGTCCCCCCCGCCTTCCTCCTCCTCCAAAAAATGATGCTTCTTCATTCTCCATAAAAACTATATTGTCCTGCTTGAAATATTAACGTGCCTGTAGTGCCACCTGCAGGGATCCGACAGGATTCGGTACTCGGATCCTCTCCTGTTTCCTGCCTTTCCTATTTAGCTTGTAATTATTCAAATGGGATCCTCAATTTTAACTGGAAATTAAAAGATGTTCTCATAGAACCGTATGTGCTTTGAAAGCATCTGGAAGTACCTTTTTAGAATCAATTCACTTTGAACATCAAATTTGTGGTGATTGTGGAGCTGGGTTGTTATAAACACTACAAGTGTTTTTGTCTACCTTAATCAGAGAGAAGTCCTTCTCAAAACTTAATATACTACTGCAAATTAACCAAGTCCAAAATGCAGCACTGCCATCAGAGACTTTATGTTGAGAGACTGGCTTGTTTTTGGCCAATGGAAATTCAGCAAAATTAGTATTAACTCTGTATTAGTATGAACTCTGTATTAGTATAAACTCTGTGAGCCTCTGTGTTCTTCAGCAGGTCAATTGGTTAATGCCTAAAAGGCAGTGTTATTTCACAAATAACATTGTGAATATATTTCACAGTAGCATTGTCATTGGAGCTAGTATATTAAAGAACTAGTATGTCTTGATTTCTCATATTCTGAATATAATTTAGCCCATGTAAACATTTCTGAGGATTTTTTTTTTTTTTTTTTTTTTTTATTCTCAGACTATTACTGCAGCTGGACACTTTCCACTTTCCATAAAGGAACATTAGAGGCATCATTATCACTTCTTCTGTACGTGCAAACTTTGTCAATTTTCTGTTGCAGGATTTAAGTATTGAGGAACAATCTGAATGTGCCCAAGACTTCTACCAAAACGTAGCAGAGAAATTGCAGACCCGTTGGAAAGGTATTGTGTTCTTGCCCTTCCTATCTTCCTGCTGAAAAGTGACATTTTGAGGCTAAAGCCACATGCATCTTCAAGCCAAAACAAAGTGCTTCCTAACCACCTCTTAAGAAAGGCTGTTAACAACTTTCAGTGTCACAATTAGAGCTACTGACTTGTTACTACAACTCAGAGTATGGAATCTTCAATATGCAATCTTTGTTTGCTATATTGGATACACTATACTGTGCATGTGGAGCTACTCTATTGCGTTGTGGTGTTTGTACCTTTCAGTGCCCCCAGAAAAGGTTGAGAAGGCAATGGATCAGATTGAAAGGTACATCATGACTCGCCAGTATAAATATGTCTTTTGTCCTGAAACAACCGATGATGAGAAGAAGGATCTTGCTGTCCAAAAGAGAATCAGGTGAGCGTTTACACCAAAGTGAGCTGAGTGGGCCACGGTGCTTTCAGTGTAATTCAGAATAATGAAAGCTACTATAATAGAAAAAATATTGGTGTGCTTTTGCTAAATTATGTTAAAAAAGATTTTTTTAAAAAAGGAATGGAATAACTCAGTGGAACAAGTGGATTCATAACTGGATTAGGGCTTTGTTTAAATACAGTAGCCTTCATGCATTTTTTTAATTCAAGAAGCAACTGGTTTCAAACACCTGAATGTTACTGGCACTGAACATTTAACTTCTTTTTTCTCTTTTTTTCTTCCCTATCTCTCATCTTAGGGCTTTGCACTGGGTCACTCCACAGATGTTGTGTGTTCCTGTCAATGAAGAAATTCCAGAAGTCTCAGATATGGTTGTAAAAGCAATTACAGGTTTGTGAACTGAGAAGGATTTTTTTTTTTTTTGTCATTCTGTTTTAGGAATTTTTGTTTGGTTGTTGTTAGAAGTTTACATCCTTAAATTTCAAAACTCTTGCTAATTGAGACTGTTTTCTGCTGTAATGAGAAAAGGAGTCCAGGTTTCTGGATTTGCAGTAGCCTGTGCATTGTTGGGCTAGTTAATCTATGAAACAGGAATGGTTTTCTTACAACAGGAGTGTTCAGACTGACATCATCTATTTAAGATGTTTGGACTGTACCAACAGAAGGTTGGATAAATGGGTGTTTTCATGGAATATTGAGTACTGTGGAGAACTAGTGCAACTTCAGCATTGTGGAGTAAATGTCCTACTCGTTTAAGTGCATGATTAGTGTGATTTTAATTATCTGAGGACCTTTTTATCTTGCAGATATTATTGAAATGGATTCAAAGCGTGTCCCTCGTGAGAAATTAGCATGCATCACCAAGTGCAGCAAGCACATATTTAATGCTATTAAAATCACAAAAAATGAACCTGCTTCTGCTGATGATTTCCTTCCAACACTCATATACATTGTTTTGAAGGGAAACCCACCCCGCCTGCAGTCCAACATCCAGTATATAACACGCTTCTGTAATCCAAGCAGGTTAATGACAGGAGAAGATGGCTACTATTTTACTAATCTGGTAAGTGTGGGGATAGTATTGATTAATCTTGATTATACAAGATCGCCTTCTTTTTGAATGGGGAGGAACTCTTGGTAAAGGAAAATACATCATAAAATTGTAGAAGGAAAATAAAAGCTGCTCGTGAAAGAGTGTCCCAGGTCACTTAGGGTGCAGCAAGCTCTCCTCCTTTATGTGTTTTCTGTCTTCCACCTCTGCTTTTCCAACCAGAACCTCTGCTTTGCCTTCTTTGTAGTATGAGGTACAGTAAAGAAGCCCTTGACTGCTAAGACTTGAGCACATGTTTATTCTGTAGGAGAAAAATTGTACTTGCTATTGCTAAATCCTGTGGGCTTGGGCAGGGCAGATGTTTACACGTGCAAAGTTCACCATTTAAGCCCATAGGAGTTTATGAGAGACTGCAGGCCATTAATGTATAGAAGTAAATAGGCTTTTTAAAGCTTCTGTAGTAAGCACTTAAATACGTGCTTGTCTCTTGGAAAGAATTATGAACTTGGCCCCTCTGCAGCTCATCTTAAAGCATTTTTTTTAGAAAAATGTGTAGCTGAATTGAATAATTGTAATATTACTTTCGATAGGACAAGAGCATCCTCAAGGTGAGATGGGCATCTCTGCATTCCTTCCTGCAGAAGGATGAGCAGAAAGTTCTTTTTGGTCACTCATCTCCCAAATGCAGCAACCCCAACGTTTGTAACCCAAGTTAGTCCAGGTAGTCTGTGTTCAGGTGCAATAGTATCTTCCTGTTTTGTGCTCTGAATTTTTGACCACTTTGAACTTCGGGGAGAGAGAGAGAGATGTGAACTCTGCTGCAGCTGGCTGCCCGAGAAGGTCTTTAGGAAGTGATTTGAGGTGATAAATAAAATAATACATTGGTGGTTCAACTGCAAGATAGAAAAGTAGCACGCAAGTTCCAATTTATAGCTCGTAGTGATACTCTCTGTTCTGTTCATAGTGCTGCGCTGTGGCCTTCATTGAAAAGCTGGATGCTCAGTCCTTAAATCTGAGCCAAGAGGATTTTGATCGTTACATGTCTGGCCAGACGTCTCCGAAGAAGCAAGAATCGGAGAGCTGGTCGCCTGATACGTGCCTGGGTGTTAAGCAAATGTATAAAAACTTAGATCTCCTGTCTCAGTTGAACGAGAGACAAGAAAGAATTGTCAGTGAAGCCAAAAAGCTTGAGAAAGACCTGATAGATTGGACTGATGGAATTACAAAGGAGGTCCAAGATATTGTTGAGAAATACCCATTAGAAATAAAACCAAAAAGCCAAGCCTTAGCAGCTATTGACTCTGAGAATGTGGAGAATGACAAGCTGCCCCCACCGCTGCAGCCTCAAGTGTATGCAGGATAAATAGCAGTGTTAACCTGGAAAGGCATCCTTACCCTCACCTAGTACTATCTGCTACTTGGAAAGGGAAGTAAATTCAAGGGTAAAAATGAAATGAGTTTAAATCAGTACATTTTTAAAGGTACCTTTTTTTTTTGTTAAGTGTAATAAATTGTATTTATTTTAGTCAAAGTAGATTTCTATTAGGTTTTTGTGAGTTTTTGAACTGAACTAAAATTTTCTACACAAACCAGTGTAATTTTTAAGCAACACTAGTTCCATTGCCATCTTTTTTCCTGAAAGCTTCCTTCTAAGCATGCACTTACATTTTTAATAATTAGTTTAACATGAGAAAATTTCGAGTTCTGGCAGAAACTCGAAAGGTACCAATGGTAGTCGAAATTTATTCTGTAGCTGTAAAAATGAAATATATATTGTAAAATATGTAAAATTGTAAATAGATTTAAAGTCTGACGTTTCAACTGTGCATGACATCTTGTGTATTAGTGAAAATGATATGGGAAAGTGTTCATGATAGCACCTTTCAGCTGAATCCTTTTGCAGTATAAAGGCAAGCACACTGTTACTGTTTCAATAAGCTATGTGGTATAAATGATGAATTGCAGTCAGAGAGGATATGCTTGTAATGATTTGAAAATTTCACGTTGATTGTCTTTGAATTTAATCCTTATAAAAAGGAAACATTACCCAAAATATGTTATTTCTTCATATGAGCATTGATTCTGCTTTGTCAGTCCACCTGATAACCGTGAGTGCTGATATTGCTTCTGTTGAAGAGAATGTTAAGCCAGGCTCGGAACAAGAAGTGAGGGGAGAGGAACAGTGTGAGAGTTGGGTAAAAAGTGGCTTCTTTTGTCCACCGGTGGGCTAGGTGATGGCTTTTTTGGGACAATCCTGGTAGATTAGTAAGTTCATACAATTAAAGGCTGCTTTTTAGTGGGAGCATGAGCCATTGCTCCAAACAGGAAGGTGTATTTTAATATCATAAAAATGTGACTCTCTTCATCTTCGGTGAGCTTTAGCGGAGGAAGTTACCTTGCCAAGTACTGAGCAGCAAGGTAAATACTGCTTTACGTCACTAAAACTTTTTCTCAGCATATGGTGTGTTTGAAACTGAGAGCAATAGCTCACTCTGCAAAAAGCAACCTCTTGCAATAGAACTATTTTTTTATGCCAGTGAAACATTTTATATATCATTTTAAATCTCTTCCAGTTAATTTAGTGTGCCAGGTCTTTTTTATATACCTAACATCATCTAAACATCTAACATCGTCTAAAAATACTTAGCTGAAACAACTCTAAAGCAATGTTAAGTTCTTAACATCAGGAGGAAAACACCTACCTCTCTACTATGTTCCACTGCTTTAAAAACACTGATATTTACATTTGTACTGCAATAATTTCAGACCAAAACTGTGATTTGTCCCTTCTGTCAAGTATATTTAGCCTCATGAACTATGCACTCCTAGTGTTTTGGAAATACCTGGTTACCACTGAGGTGAAGAAATGAATTAATCAGCTGATGACGGGATATTAGATTTAGTAAATCCACATAGTACTGCTCCCAGACTGTTTAAGATCTGACTTGTGCTTGTGGTAAATAATACTGCGAAGTCTTTATTTTCTCTACAAATGCTAGGTGCTAATTCTGATATCCAGGTACACAGGTTTTCTTGAAAACAAAAACTTTTAGGTATTGTGTAAGTTGCCATGATTAAATAAAATTGTGTATGGTGTGCCCTTGCTAACGACTTCCTAGAAATCATATCACTGGTTTTGTTGTGCTGTTAATGATTAAGATGAACCTAATTATGCCTGACCCTGCATTCTGTGTGTTTAGGGAGAAAGAAATCTTAATCATTCAGGTGAAGGCCTGAGTAACAGATTTTCTCTTCAGAAAAGATGATTGTAGTGGTTAAGCGCTGGAGGAAAAGGGCAGGCTCGTCCCCTTATTACTGCCGTGTATCTCCCTCACGTGCCAACTTGTTGTCAAGCCCCTGAAGTGGACGTTTTGGCAGGCAAATTCTGGGACTGGCAGGAGGGCAGGTAAGGTGGATTTCCGCATCCTTCTACAAGTCAGCAAAGCAGGAGGAGAGCGACGTGCTTGTGGGGGCAGCCGAGCGGGGTCGATAGTTGGGCACGGAGGCCCCGCGGCGCCCCAGGAGAGCCCAAGGCCCCTCACAGCCCGGGAGACGCAGGAAAGGCCCCATTGCCCCCTGCGCGAGGCCCGGTGCACACAGGGGCCCTGAGGGGCCGCACAAAGGTTGGCCGGGCCTTCCATTGCCAAGGCGGATGGAGGCCGCCCTAGGGAGGCCGCGCGAAAGACTGTGGGGCTCCAAGCTCCATTGCAGTTGGAGGTCCAGGGAGGATGCACAAAGACCTGTAGCGCCCTCCAAGGCAAGTGCTCACGGAGGCCCTGGGAGGCCACACCAAAGCCCACAGGGCCCTGTGTACACAGGCTAGGGGAGGCTGCACAACTGCCCGGAGAGCCCTCGGAAACAAGTGCACATGGAGGCTTGGGGAGGCCACATGAAAGCCTGGAGGGCCCCTGGGGCCATGTGTGCGTGGAGGCCCAGGGAGGACACATGAAAGCCCATACAGCACCCAGGACCCAATGTGAACGAGGGCCGGGGGACTCTGCATGAACACCTTTGGAGGCCGCTCCGTCCACTGCACACGCAGGCTGCACAGAAGCCCAGAGTGCCCCGATGTGCCAACACAACAGGAGACCCAGGGAGCTACACAAAATCCCAGAGAGACCCCGACACCAGTGGGCACGGAGGCCTGGGGAGGTCACACAAAAGCCCTTAGAGCCTTTTGTCTCCAGTGCATACGCAGGCTGCACGAAAGACCATAGGGATCTAGGGCACACGGAGGCCCGTGGAGGCTGCACAAACGCCCGGAGGGCCCTGCCGGAGCAGCACACGCGAAGGCCAGGGGAGGCTGCAAAGAAGCCCTTAGGGCCCCGGCCCCGTGGGCACGGAGGCCCGGGGGAGCGGCACAAACACCGCTAGGGCCCCCGGCCCCGAGC